TCGACCGGCTTCACGCTGGCGTAGCTGCTCCTTCGAGGTGACAGAGGCCGAGCTTTCTGGTCCAAGTCGGTGCAACCCAAGACTCTGGGCAATACGACCAGCTGAGGCGAGCAGTATCGACTGACTGCTCGACTTGCCAAGGATATGAGCCGCAATGGTCAACGTCGCGATGGCTTGAACAGAGTAGATGGTATGAGCCTCGATGTAGCCAGCGATTTCGAGACACGTCACAGTCGCTTCGTACCATCTTTGTGACAAGATCTTCCTCTCTTCTGATGAGAAACCCCAAGACTGATATACAGATGGCGGCGCACATGTGATACTGCCTGTTATGATGGCGAACAGTAAACTAAGCCATTGCAGATTCAAGCCTTGGTGCCGGACGTCGCCTTCGTAGTCTCCAAGAAAGATATCCAGGTCATCCTTGAATATGGCTGAGGAGTACGAACCATGGTACCATAAGATGGTGGTGCTGTGGTACTCCACAAGTTGGACGATATGAGTCTTGTTCGGAAGAAGCGCTTCAAGTACGTCAAGCTGTGTATCCCTGCTAGTTTCATATAGGATACTGGATGTAACCGCATCATCCTCATCTCTGATACTCAATCGCCTTGGCCCACTGTTCTGCTCTGGTGATGTTCCGTAGTCGATGTCTTTCTTACGGCCCCATGCTAGAAACTCCAACACGGTAGCTGCATCATCAGTGTCCGCAGATTGTGATGCGTTATTGTTAAGAGGTGAAGTGATCGCTGCATTGTGAACTGGACTCGCTGGTGTATCGGAGATTTCCAGAGGCAAGGGTGCTTCGCTCGAGGCCAAATCACATTGTTCCTGTAGCTTGGCTTCAAGCTGACTTACGCGGTCGAGTAGAGCGCGCACTAGATCGTCAGGTGCTGTCGCTGCACCCTGAGCTTGGTAGGCGGGTGGTGGTACAGAGGATGTCACAGGCGCGTCTTCTCTCGTACAGAAGCTTGCATATCCCCTGTTTTACTTAGTATGAAATGGTTCGGGCAGCTTGCGCAGTACTAAGAAGCCCGGTCACTGGGTTCCCAGGGAAAAGCAATCCACAGTCGCGCAGGCTCAGACTTCACCAAAGACTCGCGGATACTAGACTGCCTTGGAAACGGAGGAGCTGACCTTCGAATGCATGTGCTGCAAGGCACATTCTTATCGCATTTGATCTTCCTTCTATAGCACTCCGTACATGTCAGACGGGGTCTCGGCCCTTTCGAGGTGCTGCTGTCGTCCATGGTAAGGTTGACCGTGTCGGTCGTGAACTAGGTGTCGCGTTCGAGGACATCTCGATGCGATGAGAGTGTCTTTCCCAGCATCGCGTTCCCGGTGATTGGCAAGGCGCGTTGGCTATCAGTTGGCTATCGGCGTGCAGTTGCGGTGGGGAAGGAAGATGAACAGGGTGCGGCCGACAACGCGGAACCTTCCACAATCTGGCCTCGGCCCCACTTCATCTCGACCGCGACTTCCGTCTCGCAGGCTGCGGGTGCCTATCTAAGTAGCACGACACACGTGTTGGTGATGACGGCCGATGTGAGCGGCCGCCCTGGCCGCGTCGGCTTTGGCACGCCTGAACGCATATTGCGACACTACATGCGTAGAAGCAAAGATGACCGAACATAAGAATGGGTACAGTTTGCCCTCAAGACACTACGGTCATATATCAAACTCACCAACGTCAATCAGCTCGAACATCAACCATCTCATTATGGCACCGACGAAGTATGTTGATCGCCCTGTGCCGACAATCTCCCTCCGCGACTTCGATGCGCGCATCGATGTGATTACACGAGAACTTGTCGATGCTGCAGAGAACCACGGCTTCTTCTGCATCGTGGACCACGGCATAACACGCGACGCTGTCGACGGCATCTTCAATCAGTCAGCGCGATTCTTCAATCAGCCCGATCCCGTGAAATCGCAAGTGCCATTCTCCCCTCAACACAACGCCGGATGGGAGAAGAATGCTCAAATCCGGCCATCTACTGGTGCAGTCGACCGCAAAGAGTCTTATCAAATGCAATTCGGCGAAGGCATGAACGGTGAGCTGTTTTTATTCGTCTTATGTGTATGGCCGTGCTGATCGTTGGATAGGTCGATGGCTGAGTGACCAGACCCTTCCGGGGTTCCGAGCGGAGGCTTTGGAGTTCATGCACAGAGTACAGGCAGTCAGCGAGAGGCTCATGAGGTGCTTCGCGCGAGGGTTGAACTTCGAGGAAGATTACTTCGTCAAAGCTCACGATGTCAGCCGACCAGAGTCTCAGACTGTTTGCCGATTATTACATTACTTTGAGACTCCACAGGTGCCAAATCCAACAGGAGAGGTGCATCATCGAGCGGGCGCACACGCCGACTGGGACTTCTTGACTCTGCTGTTCCAGAAAGCAGGGCAGTCTGGTCTTGAGATCTGTCCGGGGCGAGAAGTATCAACTTCGTTCGGGTACGGGGATGCGTGGACCAAGGTTGAGCCGGACGCAGACAAGAATGCGATCGGTATGTTGATGCGCTCTGTCGACCTGGAACCTCTACTCATGCTCCACAGTCTGCAACGTCGGTGACCTCCTTATGTCGTGGTCAGATGACCGCTTCAAGTCGACTTTTCATCGTGTCAAGGCTCCATGTGAGCCTGATGACTTCTACGGCGAGCGCTACAGCATCGCCTTCTTCAATCAGCCATGCAAAGACGCCAAGATCCAGGGCCCGCTGAAGAAGTATCCAATGGTGACGGGTGAGGAGTTTACGAGAAATGCCATGAGCCGGAATTATCAGGCTATACAAGATAAACTAAAGAAGGAGAAGGAGCCGGCGGTAGCGGTTATCGAAGTGAGCGCGACGGTAGCTGAGGTAAGTGCTACGTGAAGTCTGTCTCTGGAATAGTAATCGATTTCTTCAAGTATCCACTAAGATCTTTCATCAATCGGACATAGCCCTGGAGTGCAGAATGATGCAATCTCGATTGTAACTTCAGGGTCTTCGCGTTCTTTCATTTCCGTGGTTTCTCACAAATCCTAGCGCGGATGCCTAGTCGACCCGCTTATTCCTCGCACCTGCCCCAACGTTTAGCCTTCTATCCTTTGCTCATTGTATTTCCTCAAACCAAGTTCGGCCGTCTAAACCCCACAATCGACACGACAAGCGCAATACCCTTCATGAATCCAACGACTCTGCCCTTGGCAGATACTTCGCCTGTCGAGAAGCTGCCCGCCGAGTTACTAGAGTGCATACTGCTGGAAGTTGCGAAGCATGCTGCACCGCCAGTTACCGAAGACGAAGACAGTGGATCTGTTGTCTATCGATACGCCACGCAAGAGGAGCAAGCGTGTTCGCTCGCCTTCCGCCTCACGAGCCGTCGCTTCCGTAATTGTTCATGGAAGGCTTTCGGTGCTTACCTGGGCGAAACAATATTCGATCTGAGATCGCCTCAAAGTATATCCAACCTTACCGCGGCGTCTACGTGCGAGCATCTGGCTCCTTGGGTTACAAAACTTATCATAGCCTGCGCTGAAGTGCCCCCGGGGTACCCACTCGATCATGGGGCATATACGATGCGGATGGAGCAGGCAGAGTGGGATCAACTACGCCAAGACTCTCACTCAGATCTACTTCAAATCAAATTGGCTGAAGACTCTTGGTACCCCCGCATCTGGAAGCAGAAGGGCTACGGATCTCCAATGACGGGTAGCGGCATTCCTACTTCCGCATCGCCTCCACGTCTTGCCAGAGCCTGCACCTCTATGAGTATCATCCAGGAGGCCGGGATGAGGGCCCTCCAAGAGGTCTTAGCCCAGACTTTGTTCTGCTTCGGGAACATCGACCATATCGCATTCTACCACCAGCCTCGTACCCGACCCGGGCGATATCATAACCTATTCCAGAAGTTTCGAAATATCTCACGCTACCGCGAAGAAGAGGATATGAGGAATGCTGGTAATATAGCTCATCTTGGCCTTCAAATCCTCATTCATGCCATGGTAGCATCGAAGATCACAGTTCGCACGATGACTCTGGCCGTCGATCTCGATGAACATCACGCGTTCATCACCAACATTCCCTCTGTAATCTTCGCGAAAGCCAGTCGAAAGGTAGAAACGCTTGTTCTAAAAGACATGTACTGCCCCTACTACCAAACACCATCATATAGAAAGAAGGGTAAAGTAGCCGCCACGAATAGCTCTCAAGATATCTTGCTAACTTATTACTAGTATGTATCTCCCATGCTATGCTTTGGCAACGCGGTTCTGAGACATTATGTTATTCGTGCTAACAGCTTGATAGGCCAGACTGTCGATCACGAGAAGTCTCTTCCCCCGCCTTCGCTCGTTGGTGGTCGATCATAGCGAACATAGCGAATTCATCAATCCTCGGCCGATCATCCCGCTTCCTTCGCCTTCCGACACGCCTGCTCTCGACAAATTGACTGTGAGGAATACTAGGATGAATGCCGAGAATTTGTACTCATTTCTACAATGCTATGGGCAGCAGGCTCGGTGTATATCATTCGAGAGCCCGCCAGATTGGGAATACCGCTCCGCGTTGGAGTCCGTGCGCAATCTTCACGTCGAGACACTTGAGATTGAGTATCTGTACAGGGCGGAGTCCTTCTGGAAGTCAATCAACAACGAAGAAGCGGGTTACACATCCGAAGAGTTAGATCTTGACGAGTTCCCGAAAAATCTTGCGAAAACAGTCAAATTGCACCCGCCTTCGTTCAAAGTTGCACTAGAACGATACTGGCTCAAATATCCTGAAGGACAGTCAGGTGGCGATGAGTGAACGGCAATGGAAGATCGAAGCTGCTGAGAACTTCGATCATGTCTCAGAGTAACTCCATGAATGGTGCGCGGATGGTGAGGTGGCTTGTATACCCTGGTACACATGCAAAGGTAGTCAATGAAAAGTATTAAAATCTCAACTCGATTCCACACAAAGTCCATACCGCTGAAAGATAGCATGGCTATAAGTGACATCTGACACAGCACATGGGGAACTCAAACCGTATCCTGTCTCTCCACGACAATCACCGCTTCATCCGCGCCCTCATCTCTCCTCGCAACATGCTGCCTACCCAACATGTACGAATGCCTCCTTAGTCCCGAAACTTCCCTTTCCGAGTTCGTTACCCAGAAAATGCGAGCCATCACCCACAGAAAAGCGACCACCACGATCAACAGAATAACCATGACATTATCGGCTGCTTTGTTGCCCAAGAAGCCGTAGGAGTATACGCCGTAGCCGAATGTTATGTCGACGTAGACCGACATGATGAGGGCAAGGCATACAAGAAGAGCTGCGCCTGGAAGTCCGAATCGCCTTTGAAGTTTGAAGATTGGGGAGTGGCGAACAAGGTCGACTCCGTAGGTGTGTACGAGATGCTCGAGGCGGTCGGCGGGTCCGTGAGTCTCGTGTGCGCTGGTACTGTCTGAGTAGGGGCTGGCCATTGATTGATACATCTTGGTGTGGGTTGCGGTGGCAGGGTTGTTCGGGTATGGTGGAAGCCGGTGGGAATTTTATATGTCGAGGTCGATAGTCCAGCCTTTTGTTTCACCACATACCGCCGCGTTCACTAGCACGGAATTCGTCCCTCCTTGTTCTTTACTGATGCTAAGGACTTTCCCGTCATCTGGCAGTACCTTCACTCTTTCATTCCCATTTCCCATCTCAGACCACTGCATCTTCACAGCACCTCTCCCTTCGTGCACATGCCCGAAACAGTGCAGCCTTGATTTCACCCTCTTTACTGCATCGCCTAGCATCTTGCATCCGCAGCTCTCCCCTTTCACATTGACATCGAGACCGTAGCCGAGTTCGTCAGTGAATGAAGGCGGTCCATGTGTCATCAAGATGTCGATATCTTCGGGTATGTCGCAGAATCGATCTTCGTCTTTTCCGTACGCAAATGCATACCCATTAAACTCCGGCGTATACGGACTCGCCCAGACACTGAAGCTTCTCCCATCCTTCAGCTTGAACTCATGTCTACCCTCTTCCAGGTAGTATACACCCTCTTTCTCGTGCGACTTCATGAAATTGACACATTTCCTACTGTCCTCTATATCTTCTTCCTCTTCCCCATCTTCAGCGTTCTTGCGCACCCACTCTTCATCGAGATCGAGGTCATGGTTGCCGGCGATGACGAGTTTGAGCTCTGCGTCGACGGTCTGAATATCTTCCATAGCCTTCCTGTATGCGGGAAGACCGCCGACTTGGGTGAGATCACCACAGTGGATGAGGATGTCGCATGAAGGTGCAGGGCAGTCTGGGGTGTAGGGCCAAGTGGAGTGAGTATCGGAAATGACGAGGAGGCGGATGATTGACGACATGGCGGAAGCGAACTTGGGGATATCGTAGATGAGTGTGTCGAGTAGATGCTAGAGAACTAATATCTATATGTAGTGAGACTGAGTCATGTTGAAAGATCATTGGCATTGGCGTGGAGCCAAGGTTGGTAGAATCGCTACCAAATCATAGACTTGGGCCCGCTATTCGATGCGCATGCCAATCAAATCTCACTATGACCAACCCTCTCCGTCTTCACCCAGTTTAAACAGCCCGTTCTTTTTCTTGTCCGCCGCCCATCGGTCGCACCAAGCCTTCATCTTCTCTCTGCTCTTTGCGCTGCCTACGTTGACTGTCGGGATGATCTTGTCGATGCGCAAAGCGCAGCAAAACATAGTCAGCTCTCTGAAGCTGCTATGCTCACTGTACGGCACACCGAAGCAGCTTGCCCGACTTCCACTCCCGGCTTGCGGCGTCAGTTCTTTCATAGAGAAGGTACTTCTCCAATTGTCGGAATGTAAGACGGTTTGTACTTGGGGTGACTCGGTAAAGCGACCCTTTGGTGGACGATAGTTCCAGCCCGAGGGTCTGAAGCCGACGACGCGCGTAAATGTGTCGGCATAATCGCGCAGGTAGTCGTCCAATGTCTCCGCGCGGATCTCAAACAACGGCGTCATGTGTACTTGAGCTGCCCGAGGATCTGTCGTAAGTAGTGCATCCAGTTCAGGGTCCTCAAGCGCTTTACAGATGCGCTGTTTGTTGGCAGGCGCGAAGATCTTACTTCCCAGGGCCTTCGCAATTCCAGTGCAAATGCGCTCCTTCCCGATGCTGTATGTGCCTACCACAACCAGAAGTCGGCCTCGTGCAGGGCTTTTGGGCTCGCCGGTAGCGTCGGTATTAGAGTCTTTCCGAACGAACTTGACCATGCCTTGGCCTGCGCGGTCTCGCTTCATCTGCTCCCATCCATCGGAGTCGTCCGCGCGGACTTTGCTGAGACTTACGCACATGTCCGCGCAGGCTTGGATGACCTGCTTCTGAGGCGGGAAAGCGTATTTGGGGTTCAGGTAGGTGGTGTCAAGGTAGCAAGCGTCTAGCTTTTGCTGCCGATTCTTTCCACTCACAGCATCGAGGACGTCTGGGCGTAATAGCGGGTGTTCGATGTGCGCTTGACAGGCACGGAAGTCTCCGCAGTGTAGCACTCGTTGTAGCTTCGGGTTCTTGCCCTTGCTAAGTTCCTTTTCGAATAGGAACAGAGAGCTGCCAGGGCAATGATTCGCAGAGATCATTGTGACGTGGACGCCTTCCGTTCCTGGTACTTCTGTCTTTTTCTCAAAATCCAGATCGACCACCCACTTGGGGTCCACACGAAGCTGTTGTCGTACCAAGTTGCCAGTGACTTTGCTACAGTATATCGGTCCATGCTTCCATGAGGAAGTAAGCCCGATGTAATGATCGCTATGGAAATGACTCAGGAAATAGGCGTTCTGACCTTTGACGGCTCCATACCGAAACGCGTCTACAGCAATGAACAACCCTGGCATGATTTTGTAGAATGGGCAGGTGCGTTGGTATGCAGGCTTGCCGCGAGACTTGTTGTTCTCGGCTGCAGCAGATGCCCATGCAGCATCTTCAGCATGGCCGGCCATAAGCTTTGAAAAGGCTGAACTTGGCTGAGCGCTGGGCTTCGCAAGCTGAAACGGGTTGGCTTGGCCAGGTTTAGCTGGTCTGTCCGGCTTTTTGAAGACTTTCGCTTTACTCGTCATGGTCGGCTTGCTCTCCTCCTCAGACTTCACTACAGGTAAAGGGAGCGGGTTGCCGTCTAGGCACGCATTGACGTGTACGGATACGTCTTGTTCTGACAGGCCTGGAAGATTGTTGCCGCATATCGGACAGGAAGGTATATCATTGGTATGTGGCTCTTCGTGTTTGATTTCGGTATCATCACCTTCAGGGAATAGAGGTGGCGCGTCGAAATCGTCCGGGTCGCCCTCAAAGCCTGCCTCTTCCATCTCGAGCTTCTGTTGTTCCTTCATCCATCGCCTTTCATCGTATTCTTCGCCTTCGAGCAGATCGTCGTCTTCCAGATCTTCGTATTCCTCTAACTCTTCACCCCCGTGTTGAGATGTCGATTCGGACTTTATGGGTGTGGTATCGTGGTATCTGGAGTGTTCGGCACTATCCGGGGGTAACAGGTCCTCCGTTGGTTTAGTCATTGGCGATTCCTCATTATGGCTTCGTGTGGTCATACCTGGAGTTGTAGCAGGCATTTCCACTTCGTCGTCTTCGGAGTCTGAGTCGTCCACGAAGGGTCCAGACTTCTTCCGCAGTTTGGGCGCTTGCTTAGACACGTCGGCTGCCAATGCATCCAGAGCATTGCTCTCAACATCAGCCGGCGGGGGTGGTGAACAGGCCGGCACAGGCGCTACCGCCTCTTCGCTGACTTTGCGCCTCTTGTTGCTCCCACCATTCTCGTTGTACCGCTCATCGCTGTTGTCTGTAGTCATGACGCCATTGCTCTTCTCGTCGCTCCAGCCCACGTCGTCCTCGTCGCCGTCGAGCACTATCGTTGGGTTTGACCCTCGTTCTTGTAGGAATATACGGCTGTTGATCTCCTCGGCTTTCTTGAAGAATGCCATGATGTTGCCGTTCGGAGTCCCGGCCGGCTTCTGCTTCTTGCCATTGCCAGCGGGCGACTTCTTAGCAAAGTCGGCTGGCGTCAAAGTTGTCTGAACGCTGGTTTTCTTTGGTGGGGGCGCTTTCGTGCTCGGCTTGGGCGCAGCCTTCTTCGTTGCGGCTTTGGCAGCCATGTCTGCCACTCGAGACGATGAGCGGGGTGGCGATGGAGCCCGACCGGTAGAGGGTGTTAATCGGGACGATTCGGGCAAAGAGCGGTTTTCTCGAGGATTTCTAAACATTGAAGAAGTAATTGCGCATGGCTGAGTAGTGTTGTGATGCTCGTGTGCTGTGCAATGTGCGAGTGAACCAGTGGCGACCGAGCGGCTTCACGCGCGCCAAGACAAACGCGTCGACACGTGCGGAGACGCGATCTGAAAGTGCAGGCTGCTCAATTACGGCATCTTCTTGCGGTCATAAAGTTCCTCGTGCCTTTCACGAGCCATGCACTTATGATACCCATGGTCTTGCATCTGGCATACTTCTCTAGTATATGCGACCCTCAGCCTGCGAATCTGTTAAGGTTGCTGGCGGATTCGGAGAGCGATTACGTCAGCGAACGCGCTTGTGCCCGCCGCAATGTCTTCCAGCAAACCGGCATCCGTGAGCAGTTGTCTGCGAGCAACTAAGCCTCTCAATTCTCATGCCGTAAGCATTGAAACCTCATCTCCGATTCGATTCGCACTGTTCAACGCATTGTACCCTCACTGTCCATGGCCGGTCTGAAATCCTCAGGGGTCTTTTCATCATGTCTGTTCTTCCTGAACGGGCCCCTCGCCTGCATAGCCACTGCTATAAACAGATAGGTAGTAGGATGGCACGCTCATCCGGCCTAGTATTGGCATAAGGACACGCCCTCGTGGGCCAATTGTCGACAAGCTGACGCGGCCACTGCAAGCTGCTGAACGCCATGTCACGTGGCTTTGACGCCCCCGCGATGACTGCGCTTCACCTCGTCATAGGGCGTTATCAACAACTTGATCGTTGTGGTACGATGCTATTCCCTTCGTGTGCACAATCGCTCGGTTGGCGCGGAATCGCATCCCCACAATTCAATGGCCGTGCTGCCCAGCTAAGATCAGCATCAAACATCACCTCGTATCCCAAAACGGAAGCCCAGCCTCGAGACGATCAAAATAGCAGCACCTCAGAAGTACCATATCTTGAACGCCCTGAGGCATCGAGAATTGTCTCACTCACACGCGATGAAGCGCAGACCCGACGGCCTCTTCCTACTTTTCTTTCGTGTCATGTACCTCACTATCTTCACAGGGTTCACGTGTTTTACCATTCTGGGCTTTGCGGCTATTGGAACTGGCATTGGCATTGCAGCAACAGTTGTAGTTGCTATTGGGTCTGAGGTTGCCTTTGTGCTAGCTAAGAAAGAGGAGGCAGAGAAGCGGAGGCAGGAGCGATATCTGGTATGAAAAGAATGTACGGCATGACAATCTCAAAAGGCTCGGGAAAAGAAGAGGTTCAGGCAGAAGGCCACTCATGGAAGAAAGAATTCGCCAAAAGGGAGGATCCCACAACACATATTCCCACACCTTCCGCATCGGCATCGCCGGCGCAACCCATCATTTCGACCAGTTCCGGAGCAACTCAGTTGCCTTTCCATATAGCGGGTCCAGGCGCAGTGTAGCTCGTAGCGATCGGATAGTACGACCACCTCAGCCCAGGATCGTTTGCATTGTATGCTCCAGGGAACGCAACCAGAGGCCCAGGCTGTCCATTACCACCCCCGGTAATTTCGACCTGCGCACAAGACAAATACATCTGCGCGCCGCCGACTGACTGAGCTTGGTGGAGAGCGATGGATTCTACACGGACAAGATACTTCCCACTCGGCACGTTCTTAGGGATCTGGAACTGTACTTGCGACTTTCCTGCCCTAACGTTAGCAACTGAAGGCGAAAGGAAGCTACAAGGAGGGGTATGAAGACGTACCATACGCAGGCCATGTGCTCTCCCCACTCGTCAAGGGATTTCCCACCGCGCTGATACTCGCCGCCTTGAACCAAACGTTACCCGCCGGCTCCCACGTATTGACATTCGCACTATCTGGTACTTTCGCCATATAGAACTGCACTGGTCCGAAGTGCGTGATCGATGTCTCGGCAACGAAGCCAAGGTTATCACCAGCAGCGACAACGGCAGTACCCGTTCCAGGACGGTTCTGGAAACAGCGCATGTCGGGACTAGTGACGGACGTAACACCCGAGTTGGTTTGGTAGTTCTTCGTTTGTCGGACGGAAGTCCATTCTGCCGATTCGGGCACGCCATTAACGATGAGCTTGGAGAAGCGGTCTTTCAAAAGTCAGTTCAACTCTTCTGGATACACTGTAGTGAACTTGCAATGAGCTTGCGCCGTCGCAGCGAGGGCGGAGAGGGCTAGTAGGAGATGCATTTTAGGCTGTCCAGTCGAGAAGCTATTCTGTGAACACCCATCCGAAGCAACTTAGCAACCCGAATAATATATGCAGCAAGGCACTCTGGTCACGCATCGCTTCTTAAATATGCACTAAGATCTTTATATTGTTCTCGGCAACTGAGGATGCACAGGCGAGGTGCCTCTAGATTGCTATCATGCAACCCCAGATTGAGCCAAGCAGATAGATGAGGTGTGTGCACAGAAACCACACCACGCCACACTAAACCAATCTACTTGACGAACTCTACCTGAAGTTCGTCTCGTCTGCTGAAAAGGGAACGGACATTTTCCGCGAATCTGGCCTTGGAAAAGTTTCCACGATTTTGTGTGGACCACAAATGTTCGACAGCCGCCACAGACACGTACACTTTCTTGACACCATGGATCTTTCCAATATGAATAAGGGCGCCTTGGTATGTCCAGGGGAAGAGTGCGTCACTGCGCTGCCATTCCTGGTCAAACCACACCGTATTGATAACTCGCTTTTGAGCAGCCGCTCTATTGCCGAACCAATCTTTCATCGTCATCTCGTCCTGGAAGGAGAATTCGTTCAACTCGTACGGAATGAACCGAGTCTCATGATAGATTTGTCGACAGACGGCTTGGAATAGCGCCATGCGATCGTTGGTCGCGGTGATCACTCGTTCGTGTTCGAATCGCTGCTGCTGCGCTGCCTGATGCCGCATATTAGAAGACACAAGATATGGACGAGATTTGTACGGCTGAGTACGGTAGGAGGCCTGCCAGTCAATTGGAAAGACGCAGTTGTGGAACTGCCGCGCTTGTATCAGGGATATCGCCTCGCGTCTATGAGGCGGATCCACACCGAAACGAGCTGGACCGGGAAGATCCACCGAGATGTTCGTGTCGTAGTCGTCAGTGAGGATGTGTACGTGTTGGTGACCAAGAGCATATTCGAAGATGACGCAACGGACTTCTGCTGGGAGAGATAGCAGAGGAGACTGCAAGCTATTACGTTCCACGCTGCGATCTCATTAGCTAAAGAGGAGCTCTTCGTGAATTGAATGCATACATCGCACTGCGAGGATCATCCGCCGAGAGTTGTGCGTTGAGCTGACTGCCCCGATAGAGGGCGGGTTTGTGGCCGTCTCGAAGATCATCTGACCCAGCCATAGCGTCCCTGATCATGGTATCCGCCGAAGAGGTGGACTCGCCATGCTCTATTCGCTGCCTCTTTCGCGCACGCGCGGCTTCTTCGAGTTTCTGGCTCTTGGCGCTGGCCGCGGCGGTATCTAGATCATGGAAAACTTGACTCTGGGGTCGGTCTTCGGGTTTCGCAAGGCGAACAGAGCGGCGAACCATGGTGATGTTGGGGATTTGTCTCGCTGACGTGTTGAGTGTGGGAAAGAGCGAGTAACAGCTTGAGCAGGCCTTCAGCTCAAGGCAGGTGCATTGGACCAGTGTGGGTCACCTGGGCAACGGCTGACTTAACCCCTCGCACGTGCTTTAGGCTTCACTGATGTAGCACCTGGGCAGTCATCGAGCACCTAGGGTAATGAGACCCAGCAGCAGGAAACCGTTAGGTGGTGTATTATGTACCTACGAGTTCGGCTGCGACTACGCCCTTGGAAGATCGGTCACATTAGTATATGTCACCTGTAGCCTACGCAATCGCTAATGACTGAAGGCGGAGGATGTTCTTAATACCAAAACTTTGGCAATGTCTTGTGCTATTACGACTGTATTGGATGATGGCTTCACTGCAAATGGCTACCCAAATACGGCCAGAGTGTAAAGGCCTAGCGTGTCGTTAGCGTGCCTTCCGCACACTCACACCCATCTATGGGTCGCTTGCTACTCGCCTAAACCCGTAGCACTCTCAGCGTCCGGCGTACCCTCTTTGCAGAGCTTCTACCTAGGTGCACCCCTCTCCCCGTTTTCCGACACAACCACGCCCGTTATGAGTCCACATCCGCCCATTATGCGCCTCTGTAAAGAGGGCGACACAGTAGATAGCCGTGTACGGCTGGGTCTCACTAAACATGGTCTCCTCGACACGAGCAGATTAGCTGTCTGCCTTACGTGAGCTACGAGATACGCGCCCGCTGTGATAAAACTAACTTACGGAAGTGCTGCGAGAAATAGGCGCGCGTCACCACTTCTTCGTTTGCCAGCAGAATTACGAAATGCGGTCTTCACCATGGTCTTGCAGGAGCCCTGTCTGCAGGTAGAAGACTTTTTGGTTCACGACCTAACTGCGGATGTCATCTTGAGAACGAATATCTGCCATGGGCAACTGAACAAGGCGCTTGTATCAGATGACGAAGCTGGATCGTACCGGGCACTTTCACTTGTCTGCAGACAGATGTACGACGAGACTTGCTTGTTACCATACGCCTTGAACTCCTTCGGATTCACGTCGCACACCGCGATGAGAACCTGGACGTCAAGCCGTCTCCTCATACAGTTACAGCAGATCAAGGTGTTGAAAATTCCGATGTTTTGTGAGCTTCGATACCTCAACCAGCCGTCCTGGAGGTTCACAGACATATTCCCACATCTTCAAGTGCTTCACGTCGACCTGTGGAATGCCCGGGATATTCCAGAAATGAGTGGTTGGTCGGCCGAACAGATTGAGCAGGACCTTCAAGACAGGACTAAAGTACTGTTGCAAAAGGAGAGGAGTGGCCTGCAGATTGTCGTTACTGAGTACAGAAATCTCGGTATAGCTGGGACAAACATCCTCCAGGCGGTCTGAGGAAATTGGATACGGCGATGACTGCCAAAAGGGGGTTACAAATGACATGCCCAGGTGTGGTTACAGCACAACGTATTTGTCGTTACTGTATTTTATGGACATGGCCGGATTCTGCCCTGGTGCGGAGGTGAGAGAAAGTAAGTTCTCTGACGTCATCTTGATACAGAAATGGCTAGACTACATTTGAAGATGCCTCCACCGAAGTCTTTTCAACCGCTCAATTATGGTTCTCCAATCTCAAGCCTTGCATAACATCCCGTTTGGGTACCCCGGAGATTTATTGCAGAGATTTTCACGGCACGATGGATGAACTGTCCCTCACTGACCTTAGCGCGAAGAGTCGTGGTGTCCATTACATTCATAGGTCGCAGATGAGGATGTCGACACTGTTTACGCACGCAGCATGACTCGCATTATTCCCTGATGTAAAATCAGGTAGTTGTGTCACCGGCAATCACTGTGCCAGATACCTTCGAGTTGCCGTGAGGTTTCTAGATAAGCGTTAGTTACCCGCGCCCGCAGCCTCCGCTGCTCTCACCATCACTTTTCATATTGGTCGGCATACGGGCTTCACCAGTCTCAAAGCAGATAATTTATCTCGATCAATCTTCGCACATATCTCATCTTTCATCGTTCATTTCATCGCCCAGTATGCGGACGTCTCCGGTTTTGCAGTTATCAAGCTCTCTTGAGTCTGCTCTCCTTCAACCACACGCTCTCTTCACACGCAACAAGACACTATTGAGCCTCAAGTATGGGCTCACCCGAACTGCCCGCTCGCTCTGCGGCGCCGAAAGATCACACAATCTCCTCGAAGCGTACAAAGGTCGTCAAGAAGAAAGCTCCCACCGTCCGCAAGCCCAAACAACCTGGTCGCAGGTACATGAACGGGTTGATGAAAGCCGAGATTCCTGCTCGCTCAGAATTGATGAAGATGTAGATGCGACTCCACAATCTGCCTCTTATGAGAGCTAACGCACAACAGCGCCAAAGCCAACTCCATCCAGTCTCCGCTTCTCAGTCTTCCGGCAGAAATCCGCAACAAGATCTGGCAGTATGCTGTTGGCTACCATCAAGTCGACATCCATGATTACTCCTGCGTTCGAAGATGGGATATCAGGCTCACGCATGTCACGCACCCTCTGACCAAAGGCCCGAACACTTCGTCCAGCTTTGTCCAACCCACTTTTGCGGTCCCAAAAGTATGCCGCCAAATGTACGTCGAATCATCGGCAATGATCTACAGCTTGAACAACTTCGGATTCGATAATCTTGACACGTGCGACCGATGGATCCTGGGCCGCCCACTCGGCCAGAGACGACTCATCGTTTCAGTGGATATGCCATTCGGGTACTACAGCCTCTACAAGGACGGTTTCCGCAAACTTCTCCGACAGACGTTCCCGGGTATCGTGAGAGTAAATCTGCACACCAAGATGGCTGAGATGAGCCAACGTATCGTTACTAGCACTTGGTTTCACACAGTACCTACCAGGGAGCCTCTCAACGACACTAAGCAGAGGTTCGTTGACCAGGTCAAGAAGAAGGAGGGTGACGGAATTGAGGTCGACTGGTACACTGGGTCCGCCAACTCTTTGGTCTATCTGCACTATTGAGAACGTTCGGTATGTTGTGGCGGTTTCTTATGCAGCGAGTCGTTGTTCAAGAGTTTGTTGGGGATGTTGGGAACGAGGCCTTTGCTGGGAGCCGAGACACGACACTTTGCGGTAAGTGTCCTTTTGCAAACTGCCTACGAGATATACACTGACTAAGTCGACCTGCATTTAGTGCACACGACCTTTCACAACAAATGCCTGGCAGAGCTCACTTGCATATCAACCACACCGGTTTGGCATTTGAAGACGCATGGTTCATCTGGCCATTTTGCGCGCAGGTTCCTGGTGCCAAACACCCATTCAAACAAGGACGATCATCAAGGTACGACTGCAGCCAGACGGAATGAGAAAACCGAATGGGTAAGTATCTTCTTCCATTTATCAGCATTTGTTGCAGCTTTTTCTTCAGCGTTTGTTCCAGCGTTTGTTTCATTTGGGCGTTCACCCAATCTAATACGGTCCGATCTTGCGTTTTTCGTTGAGGCCCGGGCGCAAATCTTCGCACAGAGTAAGTATCTGGCTATAGATCGAGGGAAAGGCTGTCGGATGGCGAGAAAGAGGGTAGAACATGAAGTCAGGGCTTTGAGGAGGGTGGAGTGGCTACAAGAAATTTAGAATATTCGACACGAAGGTGCTTGCGCTGTCGCACATGATTCACCAAACCTCGACCGGCAGTGAGATCTGGAACTCCCAATGACTACGAACGAGATGCCCCTACCAAAATCCTGGACTTACCTC